ATGAAAGTATATGGATACTCTAAATTGACATATGTAACATCACTAATGCCAGTTCCAGAGTGGGTATACAAAGAAATGGAAGTAATATGTTTTGATTTTTTGTGGAGAGGTAAAGATAAAATTAAAAGAAGTACAATGATGTTAGACTATCAGCAGGGTGGGCTCAAAATGATGAATTTTAGGTTGTTTGTAAAAGCACAAAGAATAATGTGGATAAAAAGGCTTGTAACAGGAACTCATGATATCAAGTGGAAACAATACTTTAAATATTTAATGAGACCGATAGGAGGTAATTTAATATTTTATTGCAATTATTGGAGAGATACAGTGAAACTTATGTTACCTTCCTTTTATCAGAATCTTCTGAAAGCATGGATAGATATGAAAGAATATGTTAAAACAGAAGAGAGATACAAAGGGAATGAAATATCGTATAATAATAATTTTATTCAACTAGAAGGTCAAACCTTATTTGAGGAAACTTTGTTTTTGAAAAATATATATCGAAATCATCATATTTGTGAAGAAAATGGAGAATTGAAACCTGAAGCTCATTTTATAATGTTAGGTTTGAGCAGAGTGGAAATTGATAAAGTAAAACAAATTTATAACGTAGCCCCTTATGAATGGAAACAGAATGTTCAACCTTTAAGAAAAGCAATTCACACTGGCTTTAGTTTAGAATTTATTTTTTCAAAGAAAGTGTTTACATTTGAAGATTTAACTGCAAAAATGGTATATAAGAGTCAAATTAAAAAGAATGTAGAAACAAACTCGGCAGGCGGAAATTTAATGACACTTTACAATATTCCAAGAAAAGAAGTAGAAAAGATATATGTTCAACCAAGGATGTGTACCTTAAGTAGTAAACTGCGAGAATTTCAGTTCAAATTATTGCATAATATTTTATATACAAATCATCATTTACATAGATTCAGGTTCCATGAAAATGGTTTGTGCTCATTTTGCAAAAATTTTGAAGAAACTTATCAACATGTATTCTTTGAATGTAATACAATAAAGGAAGTCTGGGGGAAATGTGGAGATAGACTTAATTTACCAATTTTAAAGAAATTATCCTGGAAAGAAATTCATATAGGAATAGATGACACTACTTTTAAAACAGAGCAATTATTGAACCACATTTTAATTTTGATTAAATATATGATTTTCCACAGTAGAGAGAAGGGAAACCCTCCAAAAGCAAAAGAAATAGAATATAGATTGTTGGAAAATAGAAATGAAGAGAAAAAACTTTCAATGGAAAGAGACACACTTTCAATTCATTTAAGGAAATGGGAAGCTTTGGAAAGTTTAGAATAAATGTTTTCAGTTTTTTTTTCTTTCTCTCAATATACAACTTCCTGACCCTCCTCTCTTCTCTCTTTTTTTTTTTTTTTTTTTTTTTTTTGTTGCTCGTTCTATGTTAGCGTGTGTTTTGTATACTGTTGTACATGTTATGTGTTTAAATGTTGTGTGGGGTGGGGGGGGGGGGTAGTAGGTGTTTTGTAGCTTTTTCCCTTTTTTATATATATAATTTTTTTTTTTGTCTCCAAAGGAAAATGAAGAGGTGTAACTTTTGTATGTAAATGTAAAAGATCATTGGTAAATTTATAAAGACCTATGTTAAATTATTTTGTTATTTTGTATCCAATGTTATAAATGTACAATTTTTCTTTGAGAGAAACGAATAAAAACCTATGAAAAAAAAAAAAAATTCAATATCTATATAAACCAATCCACCGGTTCGGCTGTCATCTTGATATTTTTTAACATCACTTTATTGATCGAACTTGCACAAAACCCAGGACAACACCAAATTATTGGTAGATGTAGGGATTACAAAAGAACTACACATTGAACAAGAATACGTCATAAAAACATTAAAAAAACATAAAATCTGTAACTAAACTTACAAGAAATATTCAGACAGATGTCAACGCGTAGGACCTCAGCAAAATAATGACGTGTCGAACAACATTCGACACTGACATTCACGCCCCGTGAGAAAACGTTATTCTTTATTTAGGTGACGCTATAAGATAAGATATCATGGTGTTTTTGCGCTCGAAGCATGGACTTTCTCATCTACGTATTAAATGTCCGTAGGCATACGAGAAAAATGTTGCCACTGTCAGAGGCGGCAGAGCGACATCCAAAGTGGGGGGGGGGGGGGGGAGGCACCAACAAAAAAGGGCAATTTCTTGGGGGAAAAGGGACACCTACAAAGGGAAATATCGAAGCGAAAATATACAATTGCAATATTTGTTTCTCTTTATACATCATATGAAATATTGCTTAAGCATCATACCTTGCAGTTGGGTGTGATGGTCGAAAAAATCATTTGCGAGCAAACAAAGCGAGCGAGGAAGAAAAAAAAAAGATTTGTGAGGTCGCAGTGCGAAAACTACATCTTATAAAGAGGAAAAATCCATTCCTCATCGGTTTATAAATAAGCACATTCTCATGACAGCAGACTGAAAAGACCTTTGATAAGTAACATAATTATAACATCTATAAATGTGAGCGAGCGTAGCGAGCGAGCTTTGGGAGATATTGCTCTTAGTCGCTTGAAATTAGGGGCATGTTTAATGACGAGAGGAAAAGGGGACACTTATCGAAGGGAAACGACACTTATTAGAAAATAAAAGGAGCATGAGTCAAAGTACAAAGGATAATTATCAGAGGTGAAAATGGGGCACTCACCAGGGATGAAAAGGGCACTTATGAGAATGGAAAATAGGCATTTGTCGACGGAAAAGAGTCAACCATCAGATTTTGATAGGGGCATTTATAAAAGAGGGATAGGTTCCTTATAAGAAAGGAAAAGGGGCACGTATCAGTGTTAACAAGGATAATTATCAGAAGTGAAAAGGGGCACTTATCGCATCTGAAAAAGGGCACTGACCATATATGAAAAGAGGCACTTATGAGAATGAAAAAGGGGCACTAATAATAAAGGGAAATGTGCATTTGTTGAAAGAAAAGGGGCACCGATCAGATTTTGATAGCGGCATTTATTGGAGGTGAAAGGGGGCTTTCATGAAAAAGGGAAGAGGCACTTATATGAAGGAAAAAGAGCATTTATTAGGAAAGAAAAGGTGTCAGAATAAAAGGGGCGGTTATTAGAGATGGAAAGAGCACTTGTCAGGAGTGTCAAAAAATATGAATACCGACCCTCGTTTCGTCTCGTATATTTAAGAGTTTTGTCCTAACCTGATATACAACCAAATTGGTCCCTCCTCTCTGCTCTCCCCTATTCATCTCCTTTCTCCTCCTCCTCCGCCTCCTCCACGTCGTCTCCCTTCTTCCCTTCCACTTTTTCCTGAGCTTGGTCCTCCTCCTCCTCTTGTCCCTTCTTCTCTTCCTCATCTTACTTTACTTGCTCTTCCTCTCCTCCGCCCCCCCCCCCCCCCCCACTCCGGGTTCGGAATGACCGCATGCGTGTTACCAAAATGTCCGGTAAAGGGATACTTTTCACGCACCAGAGTCCGGCTCGTACATACACAATATTGACTTTACACCGGACTTAGGGGGTGTTTTCAAAAGGAGGGAACACGCATATGCGTACCCTAAATAACACTGAGTGGTGGGGGGGGGGGCGGGCCGGGCCTCCGCCTCTTCTGCTTCTTCCTTCCAATCTTCATCAACGATATTACAGAGCCAAGATAATTATGTTTCGTAATTACTTTGAACGGGGATCTGAAAAATATAGAGAGGTCATCTTATAACGACTGTCGAATATTAGGCCTTAACAGAGGATATAACATTTGTCCCACAAAATGCAGACATAATAATATAAATTTGTATAGTGCCATTTCTACTGGATACAGTATTTCCACACGAGCGCGCCCTCTCTCTCTCTCTCTCTCTCTCTCTCTCTCTCTCTCTCTCTCTCATTCTCTCTCTCTCTCTCTCCCTCTCCCTCTATCTCTCTCTCTCTCTCCCTATTCCCCATCTAAAATGGTCCGTTGCATTTTCTATATTATATCGGTTTTTATTCACCCCTCGTTCACGTCTCTCTCTCTCTCTCTCACTCACTCACTCTCTCTCTCTCTCTCTCTCTCTCTCTCTCTCTCTCTCTCTCCCCTCTCTCTCTCTCTCTCTTTCTCTCTCTGTTCCATCTATAATGGTCCATTGCATTTTCTCTATCGGTTTTATTCACCCCCGGTCACGTCTCGTCTCTCTCTCTCTCTCTCTCTCTCTCTCTCTAACACACTCTCAATTTGCCACTGACATCCAAATAAAAATTACGAGTGAATAGAAGAGGAGACAAAATTGCCAGTGAATGTAAAATTTATCTGAAAATATGCTTTGAATATATTGTCCCTTATCACAGGTTATCATCCTACCTGCACAAAAGGCAGCATAACACCCGCTTCTTCGCGAGAAAACTAAAGCTCCTTAAAAAATCCGAGACTTCTTTATATCGGTAGAGTGGATATAAGAACATGTAATTCGGCAACATAGGAATGAATTAGTTGCTTGGAAGCCAAAAGGGACATGAGAGAGAGAGAGAGAGAGAGAGAAGAGCAAAAAGCATCTTTGAAATAGTTGTTACGTCATCAATACGCTGTGCTATGGTGTGTGCAAACAATGAGCCGTGATTGGCTATAAGTTTGAGCCTATCAAAATGTTCCTTTTTTTTATGTTTTTTGTCCTCAACATGCTATGTCATTATTTGCGCCTGGTTGTGATTGGTAGTAAGGTAGTGATGTTTGTGCATCTTTAATGTCTTTTGATGACGATTTTTTTTTTCTCTCTTCTTCATATCAACAATAACAAAGATTCTTTCATTTCTAAGATGTTGATATTCAGGCAAGGAGCGTCAATCCCAGTGGCAAAAATATTCCCGTATGCCTTTGCCTTTATAGAAAATATGTAGATAAGAAAGTTCAAAGCTTCGAGTGCAAAAACACCATGATATCTTATCTTATAGGGTCACCTGAATAAAGAAGAACGCTTTCTCACGGGGCATCAATGTCAGTGTCGATTTTTTTTCGAAATGTCATTATTTTGCTGAGGTCCTACGCGTTGACATCTGTCTGAATATTTCTTGTAAGTTTAGTTACAGATTTTACGGTTTTTTAATATTTGTATGCTGTAATTTTGTTCAATGTGTCATTCTGTTTTATTCCCTGCATCTACCAATAATTTGATCTTGTCCTGTGCCATCATCATGATTATGTCTCCTTTGTAGGGCAAGTTCGATCAATAACAGTGGTGTGAAAGTATCCGAACCAGATGGTTGGTTTAAATACTGAGAATGGTGGGAGTTTGTATATCGTGTATAGCAGACAACACTGAAATTCGCTAATCTGGTGGAATAGGTTCGTTCTCATGAGATCCTATTTGTTTATAAGATTTTTGATAAAAGATAGATAAATCTCCATCGAAGAGGCACATGTTCTATGAGAGAGAAATAAGATTAAAGTGGTTTATCAATGCTGATTTTTTTTTTTTTTTTTGTGGGGAGGGGGTTAATTTTCAAAAAGTTATGTTTTAAAGACGAAGTTGAGTTCTGGTCATGCGATTGCATTGTGAAAGAAACGGTGTGGAATCGACCAGAAAATGTTGATCATCTTGCATATAAGAATTTGTGTGTATTGCAAGGTTCTGGAAACATCAAAATGATAAGAAATTTGGCCAAGTCTTTGTAAAGTTACAAACACTGTACACAGAAAGATGTATATGGGACTACACGAACACGTGGCGTAAAAATCCAACCCCGGAGTTTTACGATGTTACATGACATATTTAGAATATGAAGGCATTTGAAGAGCCATGTTTTTCAGGGAACATGTCTTATCTGATGTTCTTCCACACTTGCATAATAAGAATGATAACACTCACAAATTATTTTCACCTCTTCCCAGAACTCAACCTTCTCTTTAAGATCGTTATGTTATCAACGATGTTTTTTTAAAGATTGTCTATGATACTTCTGATCAGCTCTTTTACGGGATCGTATGTAGAGGTGTCGTGATGTAGTGGATCACAAGGTACGGGTTCAAATCCAAGGTCCGGCATTAATTGTAACGTCCGGCAGGACGTTAATCTACATTTGCCACCCACGTGTTAAAATAGTACCCGGTATGATGCGAAAATTAATGTATTTTGCTCAGCATTGTGAGCGTCAGTAAAATGGTGCCTTTCTAGAATGCTCCCCCAGGGAGTGGAGAATGTGCATACATTATGTGCGGGCAGGCCTGAATCCGGTGACCATGGTAATAATATATTTGTAAAGCGGTGTGAATGTGAGAGAGAAAATAGTGAAATAAAGAATAGGATGACGGTACCATTATATTTCAATTAACCCATAAACAGGTGAACCTCGCAGAGAAGAAGCGTTTCCGAAATGGCGTCCCTGGTACAAAAGTTCCCGTTGATGGTGATTCTCTTGATCGGCTTTATTTGGCTTTCTGAAGGCGAGGCCTGCACGAAATGTCCCCAGTATTGGATGGAGATCGGTGAATATTGCTACCAATACTTCGGCAATCAAATGAAGTTTCACGACGCTGAGGGCGTTTGTAATCGACTGGGAGGTTTCCTGCCCAGCATCCGAAACGAGGAGGAAGGTAACACCATCTACCAGCTATGGAAGGGTCTCGTTAATCATCCCACTCAAAAGGACTCCGTAAGTGGCGAATCCAATTTTCTCTGGTGGTGGTGGATCGGGTTGGGTGGGGCGGGGAGGGGGGGGGGGTGTCACAACTCTGAAAAATCTGTGACAAGCTTGACAAGATCGATGTTCAATTTTAATATACAGAGCTCACTGAAGTATATTTGTGGCAAGCAGCTAACTATTCTTTTACAAGTAAATAAACAATATGAAATATAAAACAAAAGATCGCGGCCGTTTTTCTTTGCGGTGGTGGGAAACTCAGATTTGGTTTGGACGGGAGTGTGCCGCTCAAGCCCATTTTAAAAAGATTTGGAAAAAAACTGACCCATGTTTAGTGATATCATTTTTTTGTAAAAAAAAATGGGACCCTTGTTTAGGGGGAGGGGGTTGGTGTGAAAAGTGAGATTAGAGCTGCACGTCCCTGTATCCCCTCCCAGGACCATGTCATATCTAAACGAGTCTTTACTCAATGTTAACCATCTCTCCAAACAGGCATACTGGATCGGTCTGCGTGATACCCATCAGGAATCTAAGTTTGAATGGACAGATGGCACCCCTCTAGAATACTATAACTGGATCCCAGGACAGCCCGATAACTCGAATGGGGAGGACTGTGTTTGTGTCCGCAATGATGGCAACAACGATGACGAACGACAGCGCTGGAATGATATGCGATGCGATTGGGGTCAAGCCTTCTTCTGCCGCAAGCCCCTCAACTGAACGTCAGAGATCCAATGTCGATTATAATGACGATGAGGGGGGGGGGGGGGTGGTTATCAGAAGGACTCCATTTTATTTTAATTTCCCTTTGTGATCTTTGTAATCTATTTCAGTTTGATGAAACTGTTTAGAGCTTTATTTTTGGAAAAATTACTTGAAATACTTTTCAAATGAACTTCCAGGAATTTAATTTGGATTTTCTCATTTTTGTAAAATGATAATGCATTTGAGGGCTCTCCCGTATTTTCGTTTACTTTTTAGGGGAAGTTTGAATGGACAAATGAGTACATAAACGAATTAAATGTGTAATGCAATTTTGAAAGAACTGTTTGTTGTACTTTGGAAAGAATTTTTGGATATAAAGGCAGATGGCCTGACGACGTAAAAACCTTTCAGGGGCGGATCTAGCTTTTTGCTAGAGGGGGGGGGGGCCCCGAAATTTGAAAATCGCGCCGACCAATATTTTGCTCAGTTGGGGGGGGGGGGAGGTAGAAAACACTGCTTTCATGGGGTTTAATGCAATGTAAGGTAATTCTTTCTCGTTTTCCTGCTATACGCAGCGCTCTCGCAAGAATCGTGCGACTGAAACTCGTATATCCTATACAATGCGAAAAAGTTGGGCAATATTTTCGAACACATTGCCCAACGTTGTGCCAATAGTCAACCCAATCATCTATTGGGCATTATTTTGTAATTGTATTTTGCCTAACAGCTGGTCAAGATTTTTCCAACAAGTGGGCTACCGTAGTCGGGCAATAAAGGGTCATATCTTTGCCCAAATTTTGGTCAAAATACGAAACGATTATGCACGTGTGAAGTAGGGTACTTACGTTTACCAATACCACTGGGCAAAATATTGCAATAGATGGTTGGGTTGACTATTGGCACAACGTTGGGCAAAGTGTTGAGAAAATATTGCCCAACCTTTCCACAGTGTAGGCCTAGATGGTTTCATTGTTGCGTAACTTTGGAGGCAGGCGAAAGCTAGTCAGATTCAGGTAAAAATGTTGACGGTTAACCATTTATTTCGTTCGTCAGCTCTATAACGTTAGACCTAAACGGTCTTTATAAGAAATGCTGCAATCGATCCCCGCACGGGCTCCGCGCGCCTGACTCGAAATTCTTTCATTTATCCCTAGTTTCAATCTGATCACAATTTTATTTTTTGTTCACTACAAAAGATACACTACAAAAAGAAAAAAATAATGACAATTTTTAGCTAGTTTCGGCCAGCGCGCCGTGCCGCAATATCTGACGTTTTAGTTAAACCTTTCATTTTTTATTTGAAGCACATCTCTACTTTATCAAATTAAAGTTGCATTTTTTGACGTTTACATCGAAACATTGGATTTTACTTGTGATTAGGATATCATTAAGCAAAATGTATTTCAGATTTTAGTAGCGGTTTAAGCTCGCCAGTCAGCAGACAAGTTTGAATTTAGTAAACTTATTTAAAGTTATCATCATACTGTTACATTAGTGCTTTATTCGTTGTTTTATATGCTGATTGTACCGTTGTGATCAAGAGTACCAGGAAAAATGGCAAAATATAAAATATTTAGAAGACTAACAATGATATCGTCTGCATTAAATAATTTCTGTGTTATCTGTATTGTACTTAGTACGTAAAGATAAGAATGTGATGCGGAGGACAGAAGATTAAACATGGTACTGAAGATTTTTTTTAAAGAAGAAAGAGAGAGAGAGAGAGAGAGCGAGAGAGAGAAAGAGAGAGAGAGAGAGAGAGAGAGAGAGAGAGAGAGAGAGAGAGAAAGGGGGTGAGGAAGGGAGAGAGAAAGAAAGACAGAAGAAAGGGGGAAAATTAAGGAAGATGGGAACACAAATCACCCATTCCGAATAATTATGTTCGGGCTCAAAAATGGTGATAATGAGCTTGGTCTCCGCCTCTTCCATACAACAGTTATTTCCTCTGTGTAGGCCTAATATTCGACAATCGTTATAATATGACCGCTCTTTTTTTTCAGACCCCCGATCAAAGTAATTACGAAACATAATTATCTTGGTTCTGTAACATTGTTGGTGAAGATTGGAAGGAAGAATTAGAAGAGGCGGAGGAGAGGAAGAGCAAGAAGAGTTAGATGAGGAAGAGAAGAAGGGACAAGAGGAGGAGGAGGAGGCGGAGGAGAGGAAGAGCAAGAAGAGTTAGATGAGGAAGAGAAGAAGAGACAAGAGGAGAAGGAGGACCAAGCTCAGGAAAATGAGGAAGGGAAGAAGGGAGACGACGAGGAGGAGGCGGAGGAGGAAAAGAAAGGAAATGAAAAGGGGGGAGAGGAGAGAAGAGACCAATTTGCTTGTACATCAGGTACGGTCAAAATTCTTAAAAATACTACAGACATTATCTTCACCCAAAATGCAAAAGCCCGGGATGAGCTCATAATTTCAGAGTTTCATGGTAAAAGAAAAATCTCACAAAACGAATACCTAAACCTAATGTATGGGAGAAGGCTTCTGGATTTTTTTTAAGAGTTTTATTCAGAAATTGTTTGATCCTGTGCTGAATAAAACTCAAATCAAGACGTTGCAATGAACATCGCAATAATTATAATGAGAATCAGGACACCATCTTAAAATACGATCACAAAGAATTTCAAGAAATCTACTGAAGGATAATTTCAATATCATATTGCATTGCCTGTGGGATGTATAAATCATGTTCGGAATACGGCATACGTCATTTTGATGTTTACACATTGATAAAGGTGATGGACAAGGCTATTGAAATCGCTTTAGGTTGATTTTCAGAAAAATCTTTGTGATAATGTATCCATTAAAGCCCCACTGCACTAGTTTGGCCAGGAGGGATTAGACCTTCCTGCATGGTCACTGACAGGTGGTTATCTCATCAAATGAGCTCTCAAATAACATAAGAAAAGGGGGATCATGGGGGACCAATGGTCACCGACTAGGCATTGTTTGTTATATAGAGGGCGCGCAAGTAGATATACGTAGTGCAGTGGGGACTTAAGCATCATTTGGTAAAGTTTGTAGGTTCATTGCACAGAGGATATGTGTCTTAACCCGTTGACAACTGAATTCTCTCATTCCCATGGGCTTCATACAGGAGACACCAGGTTCCAGTAGACAATAGGTTAAATTGTTATCAACACATTTTAAATTGATTATTCCAACCAAACTGAACTGCAGGTATACCCCGGTTATCTGGGTAAGTTCGTGGGAATATTATCCGCCCGTCCAGGTGGTCGAGATACGTGTATTTATTCAACAATTCATATTTCAAAAAAAACATTGCGGTATCTTAGATGTAATCATTGTTCATACATGTACCTCGGAGATGTTTCTAAACTAAATGACGATTAAATGAATTTTAATGAACAATGCTTTCTTGTGGTGTGTATGACTTTTTCCTACAAATTAATCTTAGATTTGTATCATCATTATCCAATAATTGCCTTGGTTGAACACACTATGACTGATATTCATAACCCACATGGTAGTCAAGTGTTTTTTTTTATTTTCATTCCTGGTTTGTTCCATGGTTAGGTCCATGAGCGTACATCATTAAACTGAAAAAGTGCACCTCACGTTTTCATCAAAAACAAAGAAGAATAGACAAACATTTTTCTTATTCATTTCAAAAATCTTTCTCCAAAGTCACGTGAGTTGGGTAGCTGAATTGGGACATGTGGGACACCAGCTCCTCCCCCTCTTATTCGTTCTCTCTCCCTCCCACCCCCTCTCTCTCTCTCTACCTCTCCCTGTCTCTCTTTGCCCTTCCAACTTCTCCTCCCTTTCTCTCTATTTCTCCCCCTCATGTCTCCACCCCCCTCCCCCATCCCCTCTCCTCTCTTTCATGCCACCTCCACCCCCCCCCCTCTCTCTCTCCCTCTCTCTCTCTCTCTCTCTCTCGCTCTCTTTCTTTCTTTATCTCTCTCTCTCTCTCTCTCGCTCTCTTTCTTTCTTTATCTCTCTCTCCCTCTCTCTCTCTCTCTCTCTCTCTCTCTCTTTCTTTCTTTATCTCTCTCTCTCTCTCTCTCTCTCTCTCGCTCTCTTTCTTTCTTTATCTCTCTCTCCCTCTCTCTCTCTCTCTCTCTCGCTCTCTTTCTTTCTTTATCTCTCTCTCCCTCTCTCTCTCTCTCTCTCTCTCTCTCTCTCATTCACATTTCTGAATAAACTGCAGCACTACTACATTTTCACAGTACAAAAATACAAAATATACTTGCTAGAATCTTACATAATGCTCAATCACAGTTGCTAGAAAAGATTGACAAGGTCTTTATTATACAATTCTGACCATCTAATCAAAATACAAGTAGCATATCAAGTAAAATCATTATAATACTGAAAATCACTTCAGTATTTCTTATACATGTACTGAGTTCATTCAATAATCTTATTCTTTTCTCAATGAACCTGTGCAGCTAATTGATGTGTTGAAAGCCAGAAGGGCGTTCACACCATGTTAAAGTGAATGAGATAACAGCCTTCTGCCTCTAGACGATCATGTATTGGTCTCAACATCTGGAGAGTGTTTCACAAAGACTAAGATCGACTTTAAGTTGGAATTAACTATGGCAGACCATTCATGCCACTGGCTGCTCTCACTATTGGTCTCTCAATTATGATCTTTAAATGATACTGTTTCCTTCAATAATGAACTATCAAAAAGTTGTTAATTCTGTAGATTTGTGACCACGATTTGTATGTCCCTTGAGAAACCAATGCCAGGAATGGTTAGAGGAATTAGTGGCAAACTTAAGTTTGATCTTAGTCTTTGTGAAACACCCCCATGGAAGACGATATTGTGGAAGACATTGATGCTTATACTGTACTATTAAGGAAGAACGTGATTAAAGCTGCACAAGATAAAATACACATGCCTTTATAGACTATGTATTAAAAATTAAAAATCCTTTCTAATTAGTCAGAACTTGAATATAAGCTGGTTACAACCGAATCTGGGCTGAGGTTTTAAACACACCACTGAAAACGTGACGGTTGTCCTAATTGACTGTTGAAAGCCCTGGAACTTGAATAATTTCAATGTTTAGGTTCTTTATCTATAAACTGACATTGTGATGATACAAACACGTTATACTTCAGAATACTCTATTGTTGATCATACCCAGAATTCTTTTAAAACAGTATTTAATGTAGAGAAACGAAGATGCAATAAGTGCTTACCCCTTTTGCAAAATATCTAGAACATTACAGTGGCTATCACAGAATAATAATAATATTTCACTTTTATATAGCGCTTAATACATTGATAATGATTGTCTCTAATGCTTTACAAATATATTATTAGCACAGTCATCGGTCATCGGATTCCGGCTTGCCCGCACACAATGTATGCACATTCTCTACTCCCTGGGGAGCATTCCAGCCAGACGCATCCTACCGGGTACCCATTTAACACCTGGATGGAGAGTGGCAAATGTAGATTATTGTCTTGCCAAAGCATAGAGAGGAACCTAAAATACACAATAAATATCCAAAGCTAGGTATAATGACGAGCTCAATCTTTTGATACACAGAAGTGAGTACACATACATAGGAGATTTGTAGAACTTTCCCACTTGCTATTCATTACCACTTCAAAGATACCATATCATCATATGTGAACCACCCCCTCAATGTCCTCCTATCTGGGGAAGTCCTCCTTTAAGTGTACGCATAACCGAAACACGTTTTGCTCTCGATATACAGGGTTTCATGTTGCTATACTGCAGTCAAACAATGAGCTTCAAATATTTCTTCTACAAAGAGATATTGAAGTTCAAATACACGCTTAGTGAACTGTAAAACATTGTGTTGAGTAGCCTACTTAGAGCATGGGTACACACTCACACAGAATTGGGCTCGCACAGAATTAAAGTCTGCCTTGAGTTCAATACACACCCTTTCTTCTTTAATACCGGTACTCCTTAACGGTTTACCTATACAATGCCAGGTCAAGTTTTTTGAGGTTGATTTTATACATTTTAGCTATACACAAATAATTTTTTTCAGGTGATACACTTTGACTTGAATAAGCTATATGCAATTCATCACATCATCTACCAATTAGTCTTGGTAATTTAATTTCCACCTATCTTGCTTTTTGATAGGTCTTTAATATATGAATAGATATAAGACACCGTAAACAAATTATACAAGGTGTAAAAAGTAGACTAACACAGGAAGAATTAAGGAACAGATGATCAGTTTTGTTAACCTATCCTAAACAGTGAGCAGGGACAATCCTACATGTTCTTATTGTGGCAAGAAATATTATTACTGTGATCTACAGTCTGGTGACTTATCCACTAGACCACACCTGGGTGGAGAGTGGCAAATATAGGTTACATCTTGCCAAAGGATGTTAGTACTGGGCTCGGATTTGAACCCCATACCTTGTGATCTACAGCCCGGGGTCTTATCCACTATACCACAACACCTTTGAATTTTCATCTTTGCAATGACCATTCTAATCTCTGATGCATTTAGGCCTTTATCATATATAAAACATTACTTTTTAAAAATCACAAAACAAATCATAGAATCATTTGACGGGACAATCCAATCATAAATAAATTAATCACTGAATATATCACGTTGTATATGGCACATTAATATATTAAGCAGATTAAATAGCATTAAATATTGGCGACTACATAGTCAGTATCTATTTCACAATAAAATGATACAATGCAAGTTGAATCGCCTTGATGCAAAATGGACGAAAGTAAAACAACTCAATAGATTGATTCTCAACAAATTTCCAGATCAAGAAACCTGAATTTCACTACATGTACATCATGTATTTCATACACCTCATTAACATCACATATTTCAGGTGTGGGCACTTTGCAAAATTTGATGAATTGTTTATAACAATACATGACTGATAACTTAATACATTTTCCACCTATACATTATGTAAACATTCCAATTTCAACTGAACTTAAGCACACTTTTAAGCTAAACCCTTGTTCATATTCACTGAAAGATAAGGCAAGGCTTTCATGAAAATGATTGGAGGGATATTATTTTAAAGTGCATCACATATGCAAACACACACAGGGAAATTTTATGCACATGGACTTCACTGGTTAAGTATATAGGAGCAAAATTTACCTCTAAATTTCTGGGACTTCTGGCATCTGTCTAAAGTGTCCTGTTTGTACTCAGCACACATTTAATTCTAACTCATAACAAACTGAAGAACAATTAATGTTCTACATCAACATATAGCCAGATTCATGTCTAGCAATACATAATTATTATAGCAATACATTTCTAACTAAGTAGAATATTGTATGAATTGAATATCTTTAAGTAGCATTTATGATTACAAATACAATGTACATTTCATTTCATAAGGCATGGTTATTTACATTTTCACTACAGTACTTCTTGTTTATATTTACAATTTATTAAGTCACAACATGACTACTTAAATACCTGCGTTTGAATTTTCTCTACCTCTTCTTGGTTACTCAATAACAGTGTGTAGCAAAGAATTCAATCTTCTTCACCATTGGAACAGATTCTGCCCATCTCATATACCTCTTATTATCAAGCTTCTTTCAACAATTTGGATTGAGGTTAACTATCATAGTAGGTCTATGACCAAATACTGTATAAGCAGTTATTTTTGCAGAGGTTTCATTTTCACGAACTTTGCAAATAACTTATTTTTCTGCTCCATATTCATTCAATGATTCATTGGAGGCGTTTGGAAGAACAATATTTTGGAAGCACTTTTCATGAGCTAAGACACAATGAGGTGATAGTCTAATATGTCAGACATTAAGTATTTATAATTGTAAATAATAGTTTTAGTCTCATCCATGCATGATTGTATTTTGTCTCCTGATAGCCATTCAAACTCTGACTTGATTCACATTTTTCTAACATTTCTTTAAAAATTTCTAATGTTTTCAAGAGAGTCAGAAAAAATTCACCAAGACTGCAACGATTCTGATGTCTCTTAGCATGCTCCATCTCCCTGTGATATTTCCGCTTGTAAAGAAGACTTCTTCAAGAAACACAACCTCAAGAAAGATTACAGAGAGTCCTTTTCAGGACTCCTCAATCCTCCCTCTCTATCACATGGTGCACCTGCAAGCCTACTGTATAAGAAGACTTCTGTTATGTAAAGGATTCATTAACACCTGCATAAATAAGTAAATCAGAGAACAGCTTTATAACCTCCTCATGCAGCAAGTAACACCTAACTAGCATGTAGGTGGACGGCATGGAGAGGTCATGTGATGCTATCTCTAACACCACACTCTAAAAAATCAGTAGGAAGCACCACAATGGAGTGTAGAAAAATCTTGTAGAGGGGTTGACGCTAACACCAATCTTGAAATCAGCAGTCAGGACCTAAAGACTAGAGTAGAGACCGATGTCCCAGAGAGGGGGACTTGTGTTCACGTTGGCACTTCACTTGAAACGGCATTCAGGAACACCAGGATAGAGTGTAGAATGAGAGAGGTGTCACAGACGGGTGATCTGGTGCTAACGCTAATGCCAATCTTGAAATAAGCAGTACTTGGTACTTGGTTGGGTAATCCCTTTGGTAGATCACTCAGGAAGCTATACTGGGATGGTAGGTGAATACGGACCACCAGAGTAGAGAGATTGATGTCCCAGAGAGGGGGACTTGTGTTTACATTGACACTTAACTTGAAACAGCATTCAGGAACACCAGAATAGAGTGTAGAGAGAGAGAGAGAGAGAGGTGTCACAGATGAATGATCTGGTGTTAACGCTAACGCCAATCTTGAAATAAGGTGTCACAGGTGGGTGATCTGGTGTTAACACTAACGCCAATCTTGAAATAAGGTGTCACAGATGGGTGATCTGGTATTAACGCTAACGCCAATCTTGAAATAAGGTGTCACAGGTGGGTGATCTGGTGTTAATAATAACGCCAATCTTGAAATAAGGTGTCACATATGGGTGATCTGGTTTTAACGCTAACGCCAATCTTGAAATAAGGTGTCACAGATGAGTGATCTGGTGTTAGCGCTAACGCCAATCTTGAAATAAGCAGGTAGGAACACTGCACTTTAAGTGTCAAGAGGTATCACAGAGGAGTAAATTGGCACACAGCGTTGAAAAGCAGCTCCAGGCACTTGCACATTTGTGTTGCTTGGGGCTACAAGAAAGCAAAGAATATCAAATTAAAAAAATTATTATATAAAAGTACAATGTTATGACCACTGATTTGACACAAATGTGAAGCATCTATCCTAAAAAAAGAAATATTCTATTATTTAAATGATTGCCAGCTTTAAAGCTTATCTGCAGTAGTTTATAGGAGAGATTAGACCACACTGCAAGGTCACTGGACAGGTGGTTATCCCATCAACTCAGCTCTCAATTAATATAAGATAAGAAAAAGAGGATCATGGGGGACCAATGGTCACCGATTAGGCATTGTTTTCTATATAGAGGGAGCAAGTAGCTACAAGTAGGACAGTGTGGCTTTAAAACCTAGAAAATCACATACAAATCTATGACCTAAAGCCCTTGAAAGATGGCAGTTGTGCATTTGATGAAATACCCAATCACAATCCACCTGTCAAAATGTGGCCCAATAAAAATACCAGAGTTATCAGAGGTTTTGTTTGGCACATGCACACCAGCTTTGCAAGTCTCTTGGGCAACCAAGTCACTAATCCTCAAATACTTGACGGGTAAATTCAGTGAGTCAGCCACGACCTTTACAGAAACACCAACAAAATAGACGGAGATAAAATTGATAAACTCTGCCCTGAAGGGATTTGTAACCTACAATTTTTGGATTAAAGAAAGAATGATACGAATCTAGATCTTCAATGATCTAGAACCTTAAAAGTCCTGCTCAACCCTGTATATATCTAAATTTCTGTTCTACAGATGCAGTCATCAGGTATGTGTATGTACATTTAGTTGAATGATTCCCCCCCCCCCCCCCCCCCCCATCTTCGTTCAAAACGTACATATAAATACAGGATGATTGCATTTAGAGAAGAGAAATTCAAATATAGTGAGGGAGGAGAGGCAGAGAGAGAGACAGACAGACAGAGAGAGAGACAGAGAGAGACAGAGAGAGAGAGAGACAGAGACAGAGAGAGACAGAGAGACAGTGAGACAGTGAGAGAGACAGAGAGAGAGAGATAGAGGTAGAAAATTGAGTATTTGACTACTGTCAAAACAAAGACAGAGAACATACATGTAGTGAACGAGAGAGCAAGATAGAGAGAGAGAGAGAGAAAAAGGGAGAGGGAGTAAGAGAGTGATGAAGAGAGATGGAGAGAGAGCAAAAAGGAGAGAGTCATAAGACTAAAGATAGAAACAGAGGCTCTCAAGTCTCAATACATGCATATAACATCCAAAAAGTAAACAGCGATAAAGACAGGGCGTTTAGGGGAAAGCGATTGAGAGAGAAGGATAGAGGGGGTGAGGAGAGGGGAGGGGGGGGGGGGTGGCAAGAAAACAAAAATGAGAGAGAGTGAATGAATGTGGTGAAGAGAGGGGAAGAGAGAGAGAGGCATTAGACTAGAGATAGAAACAGAGGCTCTCAATACATGCATATAACATCCAAAAAGTAAACAGCGATAAAGACAGGGCGTTTAGGGGAAAGCGATTGAGAGAGAAGGATAGAGGGGGTGAGGAGAGGGGGGGGGGGGGGGGGTGGCGAGAAAACAAAATTGAGAGAGAGTGAATGAATGTGGTGAAGAGAGGGGAAGAGAGAGAGAGAGAGGCATTAGGATAGAGATAGAGACAGAGGATCTACAGAAATGTACATGCATATAAAATCCGAAAAGTAAACTGGGATAAAGACAGAGCATTTAGGGGAAAGCAAGAGAGAGAAAGAACGATAGAGTGGGTGAGGAGAAAGGGAGGGGGAGAGAGAGAGGGGGAATGAAGATCTAGCTACCTGATGAGTACATTCAAAGAGTAGACAGTCATAGACCTCCTCTCCTTCTTGACCTAGCTTGACCGCCATCAGGTGTCTTCCTAGACTGTCCTCATAGTGGACGGCTCGGATGATCTCTACCAGACCATGCCTCCATCGTACCACCTGAGAGATGCACACAAACACAGAACACAAGAGCAAACAATTATTCTAGATGAACATTAAAGGCATCGTTTATCAATGTTAAATCTGAGATGCACGTGTTATCAGTGTCTGTGATATGGTGTAGTAATGAAGCCCTAAACAAAATTGAGCTTCAAAATGATCAAGAAGTGCCTCAAACAGTAAATATCTTTGAGTGACCGGTTTTACTACACTCGTTTTCCCCCCATAGACTGTAGTGTTATGAAAACCGTAAACGCAAAATTTGGTTTCGATTTCCAATCATAAACATCTTGATAATCAGACAGGTGATCGGCTAAATCCAGGATTTTGTTTCAGAATCTGAGACAAAGTTACTGGATCCCTTTAATGTGAATAATGTGCTAACCCTAGCATGACCAGAGGACACACACAAAGACAGAGATAGACATGTAGAAAGAACGGAAAAGTTATTCATGAAAAATTAAAACTCTGAATTGCGATTGAGGTCTGACTCAATAAAGCATGCCGAAAAGCATGCTTTCACTGTTTTGATGCCGACTATAATTCATCCAGCACAACTTGTGCATTGTGATACTATGAATCAACTACTGAAAGAAAGTAGAAGTGACTGCAAAAAGATTTCACTAGTTCAACCTGGCTGCTTCCAAGGGTCAGATTTGCAATGGAGGGGGGGGGGGGGGGGGGGACCACGTCTTTTGGTTCAGAACTGATCACCAAATTTGATTTTCATTGTTCTTTGATAAAATACTGTTTAGAATTATCAGCCCTTTTGTCACTCTATTTTGGTGGTCACACTGCATCCCTGATAAGCTTTCTGATGAGCAGGTATGACATGTCAACATTTTCAATGGTGACTAATGTTAAAAGTTGATCTCTTGTTATTAACACTTAGAATTCTATAAATTTGTTATTAACAAAAATGCTTACGAAAGTAGCCAAAGCTTTCTGAAAGTACTGAGATCTATCACAGTATCACTTGAAAGTTTACATGGAGATACAAATCACAATCATAATCATAAAACCAGGGTATTTTGTGATTCTGGGTGAATCTATGGATTTACATCTATGTCACTAATCACTGGTTATTTTATAAAATGTCATATTATCCAATATGTATGTAATACCGGTATATTTTATGTTTTACTTATTTCATTGTTATTTTGTCTGTTACCATATACATGACCAATATGAAAAACAGCTTTGGCTCATATTGTCATCCAGTATAAATATTTTTAAATAAACAAATATATAAATAATAAACAAATAAATATCACATGATTGCAGGGCCCTTAGGAAAAACAGCATTAAGATTTATGAGGCTACCCTGGGTAAATAATATTATTATTATTATAATTATGACGAACCTGGGGCGGTCTGATACCGGCTGTCATCTGATATCTATCTTGAGGGATCTTCTCCAGAATCTTGATGCCATACTTGGAAAGATTCAAAGTGACAAAGTCCTGGTCACTTTCTGCAAACTTGAACTGCCCATCCATCTGATGATAGACAATTAAACAGAGAGGTGGGATTAACAGCGTGTCCACACACAAACAAAATTATCCCAAAACTCTATAAAGAAACGTCGTATAAAGAATCATCCTATAGCGAACAGGGCATCCACACACAAAACATTCTTTATCGACTTCTAGTTCAAAACATTGCCCATACCCTACTTTCGTTATACGTTTCTTTATACGGCGTATGATGATGATGATGATGATGATGATGATGATGATGATGATGATGATGATGATAATGATGATGATGAAAATGATGATGGTGATGATGATGATGATGATGATGATGATGATGACTGTGATGATGATGATGATGATGATGACAGTGATGATGTTAATAATGGTGATGAAATTGACAGGATGATTATACTTATGATGAGCACTAAATCCACTGAGTTATTAAGCTACCATTACTATCATTGTTACTTGACATGAACCTGGTCCAGGGAACCGTTTCACAAAGCCTTTTTTCAATGACAAATGACAAGATTCAGTGACAAACCTGCCGATGACCAATCAGAAGCAAGGTTTTAGTAGCTTATAACAGTAGCTTGTAACTTGTTATTGATGAAAAGTTTTGTGAAATGGGGCCTTGGTCTTACCTGTGCCTGGTCCAGGGCTTGGATTAGATCAAGGTGGTCTTCTTGTGAGTGTTGTAGACACTGAGCTGAGGCAATCATCCCTACGTAAAGCTACCATTACTATCATTAATGGACCTGAACCGGGTCCTGGTCTTACCTGTGCTTGGTCCAGGGCTTGGATTAGATCAAGGTGGTCTTCCTGTAAGTGTTGAAGACACTGATCTGAGGCAATCATCCCTACGTAAAGCTACCATTACTATCAATGTTACTGGACCTGAACCGGGTCCTGGTCTTACCTGTGCTTGGTCCAGGGCTTGGATTAGATCAAGGTGGTCTTCTTGTGAGTGTTGAAGACCCTGAGCTGAGGCAATCATCCCTACATACCTCACCATGAAGTCCACTGATAGGGTCAGAGGATCCCTTACAACTGAAAGATGAAAACAAAAAGAGAATAAATGTTATTATTATTTATTATTATTTTATTTGGCATTTTGTATAACAAATAACAGACAAACATAATACAAAGATCGAATATACATAGGCTACATGAATGATTTTTAAAACAAATATACATGTATGGCGCCATACAAATGCTGTTCATGATCATCTTCATCAGAATAGTTTCTAAATAGTTGAGAGGCGACTTGGCTCAGTCTGTAAAGCGTCTGGCTGTCAAACCAAAGATCATGGGCTCAAATCCAACCCAGGCAGAAGACTGAAGCCTGCATTATGTGTTATCATTCCCCTACCCTGTTTCATAGACCCAGGCTATGTTACAGTGGAAAACACTCTGTCCCTTGGATAGGACGTTACAAGTAGGCGCCACGTAGAGGATAGTCACCCCCTTTGCACATTAAGAACGCCCTACACTATTTGTATAAGAGTAGGGGAAACCCTGGTGTAATGGTCCACCTGCACACCCCAATCAGTTATAATGGAAAGAGATATTCAAGGGTTACAGTGATTTAGTTCACTATTCACCTCCCAGGCAGGAGACACTTAAAGGCCCACTGCACTACTTGTAGCTACTTGCGCCCTCTATATAACAAACAATGCCTAATCGGTGACCATTGATCCCCCATGATCCTCTTTTTCTTATGTTAACTGAGAGCTGAGTTGATGAGATAACCACCTGTCCAGTGACCTTGTAGGGCGGTCTAATCCCTCCTGTAAACTATGGCAGATAAGCTTTAATACTTCATAGTAATCTCCTGCTCTCTCTATCTCTTTCCCTGCATCTTATTTCTCTCCTTGTACTATTCTTATAACCTCTTCCCTCTTTCCCACTCGCACTATCACTGTGTCTCAGTATCGCTTCCTCTCATTGACCTTGTATTGTTTTGTCTCTTGTATTTTGTATGATTTTTAAAAGTAAATACAACAGTACCATTTTCCTCAATAAAATATAATTTTCAAAACAAAAAAAATAATAAAACTAGAAATTTAATTCGTCATGGGGACGAATTAGGTGGTCTGTCTTCAAGTCTTATGAGAGATTATAATATTTACTATATTGAGAAAGGGAGAAGTTATATAGACATGTAAACAATGATGATCATCAAGATGATCTTGATAGTAATGGTGATGACGATGATGATGATGATGATGTTGATGATTATCATCAACAGACCACGATGACATCAGACTGAACAAAATTAGAAAACATTTAGATAGCGTATAGTCTCAGCTACAACATACTCAAAAATCAACAAAAACCAAGCCGAAATAACGGCGATATTGCTCGCAAAAGACAAGAATGTAGAATCCAGATTTGAGAAAAAGTCATCTCCCATAAGGATTACACGCCAAAAGTAATGGATCTAGTGATAATAGGGTAATAATAAAGTAAATATGGTTGTTTATTACATTATTTGCGATTGTACGTGTTTTAATATTCAAAGGAGATGGTAGAGTGAAAGGTCAAAAAGAAAAAAAAGTGAAGAAAAAAAATTGTTGGAGACGCCCGGACTCGAACCCGGGACCTCGAGGTCGGAAGTCAAGTGCGTTACCGATATACCAAAACATTTCCCATAGAGATTACACGTAAACGGAAAATGGAATTATCAAATCCCACTTTGTAAGTGAAATATGAGCATGATCCCGGCATCTGATCGAAAAATAAAGGACACACTTGTGATAGATTATTGTCTCAGCTACAACATACTCAAAGCTCAGCGTAAACAAAGATAAAACGGCGGAGATATTGCTCGCGAAAGACGAGAATGTAGATCCAGTTTTGAGAAAAAGTCATGTCCCATAGAGAATACACGCAAAATGTGAAAAATTGACATGCCTCCTTTAATCGCAAAAATACGCCATAATACCATTGTCAAAATGAAATATCATGGTGACCGCATTTGTAGAGAATATACTCAGGTAGAACATATCAAAATTTGGAAGAAAATTAATCAATATTTACAAAGATACAATCAATTTTCCAAAAATATGATGACGTCATAATATGCAAATTGAAATTTTGAGTTCGGAGGCCATTATGATGACGTCATGAGTCAATTGAGGGTCAAATGAGACATGGAATCATATCTCAAACTCATGCTTTTTCTAACCATGATATAAAAGTTGGGGTCAATGGACTATCTGAAGAGCTATTATGATTTTTAAAATGGCATGTTTTTGATCAAATTTGCATTATATTGCCCATAGCAGCACGCGCGGATTTTGAACTTTGACGCGCGCTCACGGCCTTATGAAAGGTCAAGGGTGACTGAAAAAAAATGTAAATTGTCATTTACGGTAAGAGCAATCTAAATCATGTAAAAATTTTGAATTTGACCTTTTCTGCGCGCTATGAGCGCGCGCAACGCGCGCGGGGACACTTACGGACGGAAAATTTTGAAATGCTTAAAATGACCTGATTCGTACTCTCCTTTAATAGTTAAGTGATTTTGAGCATTTGTAAATTTTGACGCACGCGTACGTGCGCGTCATGACCTTTATGTGACCTTTGATGACATGACTTGTTGACCCTTGACCTGAAGTATATGTGATATGAATATGAATGACCTTTGCTTATGGATCACGAAGATATGATGGATAACGTGATTTCACAAAATGGCGCCTGGATGACGTCACGATAATCTGATGACCTTGAAAATGTTCCTGTCACGTCTCATGACAATGACCTATGACTGTGTCAAAATTGAAAGAAATTAACACAACCGATCTTGAGTTAACCGATAAACAAAAAACGGGAAGAAATAAAAATAAATAATAATAAATAAATAAATAAATAAATAAAGAAAGAAAATTCTGACGAAAACAATAGGTGATCTGTCGAAAACGACAGACCACCTAATAATAATAATTTAAAAGATGTTAGAGGGCCCATACTTCCTACGATAAGTAATAAATAAACTCTCCTGAAGATGGATGTATGGATAATCCTAGGGGGGCAAAGGGGCAAAGGCTACAGCAGAAATGTCCTCTTCTTGTCTCTTCTTACAAAGTTAAAAGTAATGCCTTCCTGGACAACACTTACTATGTCGGCATTCAAGTTTTTGTGAACATACTAATTCTTGAATTTATATTTCTATGTGACACTACATGAACACATATCACTATAATTCACTTAGGCAGTAACATTTTCCCTGGATAAATGAAAATAAGTTGATAAGCCTTTTTCTTAATCCATCTGAATCACAATGTAATAAAAAGTACTTGTGTACATTGTAGATGATGATCAATGATTAAACAGTACAGACAGTGGACTGTGGTAGAAGTGCTTAACTACATCACGTCCTTGATCATGGATATAAGAAAAAAAAGGAATCGTGAGTTTGCCTTTATGTTTTCTCATGTTCTTTTGGCAACCATGGATTGGTTCAATGTTGGAGAGACGCAAGATATATAAAAGAGTGCCTCCTTTCTGCCAAAAGCTTTCATGTGAATCCTAATAAATGGAGAATGATATCCAGACTAAGCGAGCAAAGCGAATGAGATTAGGGTGGGCAGGAAGGGGGTTGGAGAAGGCTGTACCCAATTATCAATTCATATTAAGAATCAAATAGGATGGTGAAGATGTTCAAGGTTCGACAGGGAGAGTGAGAACTTGGAAGGGTGAGAATAAGAAGATGGTGACAGAGAGAAGACCAGAGAAGGGAGACAGAGGCAGGGAAAGAGAGAGAGAAGTAATCAGATGAAGAGAGAGAGATAGTAGGGAGAGGCAGAGAGGAGTAGCAAATGGAGGAGCGAAGTAGCAAAGAAGGAAGAGGGGAGGGGGGAAAGAGCTGGGAGAGGGAGGGGGAAGTTGAGAGGAGATGGGAGTAGGGAAAGGGAGAAAGAATAAGGGAGATGGATAGAAAAGTACAGAGAGGGAGCTAGAAAGCAATAGAGAGAGAAAGAAAGAAGTAGGGAGAGGGAGACTTAAGTACATGTAGGGCGATAGGGACAAGAAGTAGGGAAAGAAATAAGTAGGAGGATTTTAAAAATAAAAATAAAAAAAGGAAAAAGGAAAAAGAAAATAACACAAATAAAAGAATAAAACAAATATTGCATTAGAGAAGTTTGAAGGACAGGAAGGTGTAAATGGACAAATGTCTTCTCTTTTAGAAAGATATCCAGTGATGAAGAGAGAATTTGCAAAGATGAGATCAAACAGGTTGAACTAAGAGATGGGACAGACAATCACAACTTTTGATGAAACAGAAAGATAGTAGAATATTTATGATCACAGACTTAAAGAAGAAAAGATACTCCTTAACATCAACAAAGAAGGAAGAACAGAAGTACGAAGAAAAGACGAGAAGATAGGTTTGAGGCATGAACATCTCAAGACATCTTATTAGAGCAGCTGTGCTTCCTACCTACACCCTCCATCGAGACATTCCATCTCTCGGATCCTTTACTACCCAACCACGGGATTGTAAGAGGAAATTGAGAGTGGCACGCTCCCCTCCCCCTACCCCACGCTTAGATTAAATCTGCGACACAAGGGGAGGATCTGCGTCTCCTATCGTGATTACCGTGCCACGAACCACACAGAATGAACAAGCGTGACAGCCGCTCAGGCATCCAAACAATTTACGGATTCGGACCTGATCTCTTTTTCATCTCTAATGCGTAAGAGATGGATTTTGTAGCGTGTTTTACACCAGGGTGCGGGGATAATCGCCTGCCCCCGGCCAGCTTATCTGTCACATGCGCCATCCATAAACCTTGGAATTTCCTTTCAGAAAGCAGTGGGGTCACCGTGACCTTTCTACAGCATCTTCGGTTGCATCCCTTACCCCCCTCCCCTCCTTTAAAACTTCCTACACCACTGCAGGCTAGAGCCCTTATACTTAAAGTTCTTTACTCTTCTCTCCTTTACAACTTCCCAGCCCTCTGCAGGCTGCAGGCTACAGGCCTTTTATGTTAACACCCCTCACCCTCCCCTCCTTCATTGCATCCTATGTGTCTGCAGGCTACGATCCTTTGACAAAATTAATGGACTATTAAACCCTCCCCTCCGTTTGAGCTTTTCAGACTTTAAGCCTTTAATATCTAACTTGTAAACCCTCCCCTCCTCTACTACTTCCTCCAAACTCTTTAAACTCAAAACCTTTCACATTTCAATCTTACTCACTCCACTCATACTGTACTTCCAACAGCAATTTAAACTACAAACCTGACATATTTCGAACCTAAAGTACTGCTACCCATTTTTTTATTAGTATTTTGCCATGTTTTCTCCAATGTCCTTCTACACGCATGTACTGTATACATTCTCTATTCTTATTACTGCTAACTGGTTTTATAAAACGACCAAATAATTATCATCCAACTGTTTCCATGTAAATCTGGGCATCGATAATTAGCAAAATGTTTCTTAGCAAAATGTAAATTAGCCAAATGTTTCTTGCCATTAAATCGACAGTCAGCAACGATTCATGAAAGGTTAATGTTGCAAAAATTTCTAGTTTTAGAGTTAACCTGACAAGTTTATTACTATAACCCCAATTCCTCTTGGACCAAAATAGGTTTACTGACTCATAAACTAATCTCAACTGACCAAAAAGCTACAACATGGTACGACTAGGAAGGAAAGGGCATGCCAAAATTAGAGAACCATGTTCAAGATAAGGTTCAAGGTGATAAAATAATTGAGGACTAATTAAAACAATCAATCTTCAAATCTGCTGAGACAAGAATGTTTCCATCAGTTTGTCCTGAGGAATCTGCTTTAAATTGAAGTCAAAAATAGAAAAGAAATTGCCATTGCATTTAAATTCAATTAAGAAATTTAAAATAGCATTTGTGTTGAAATTTGTAAAGCAGAAGTGTATAAAATGTTGATTGGAAATCTCTTGAGCATTGTCTTCACACTTAGGGGTGGAGACAAGATCTCACTTGTGGCCCTGAAGTCTAACGGTTCAAAATTGACTTGTAAAACTAGCCGACGTCTCTAAGGTCCCGATTCTACCAAAATGGTTTCGGTCTTGAGAATATCTGTTTTCCTTCAGGCCATCCAAAGGTTCATTGAGCTTGGCTGGGTTCCCTGAGAAGTCCAGATAAACTACAAATGTTCCAACATATAAACTCCTCTAGATTTGTCTCACTTTAAAGAACCTATGTCACTATTTGCCTGGTAAAGTTGTAGTTAAAACCTTTAAAGGCCCACTGCACTACATACAGCTACTTGCGCCCTCTATATAACAAACAATGCCTAATCGGTGACCATCGGTCTCCAATGATCCTCTTTTTTTATGTTAATTGAGAGCTGATTTGATGAGATAACCGGTAACTGTCCAGTGACCTTGAAGGGTGGTCTAACCCCTCCTGTACACTAGTACAGATGGGCTTTAAGTTTCAATTGATGACCCACCAATAACAATGCAAATTCACATGGCATCAAAACATTTGACTGATTCTAGTTTTAAACTTCATTGAAGACAAGCAGTCATTGTAAAGTTCTACGAGCTGTCAAAATCTCTAGGTTCATTGCATCTAAACAGCAACCAACTCCCAACTGCTCAGAATATTTGTGTTAACCATACAATTACTTGTGGTTAAGACCTTTGAGTGAACTTTTGAGTTCTAGAAACTACGAGTACATACACAAAGCCCCTCGAAGTGTTGGGAGCCCAAATTTGCTTTAAAAATTGATGGCAAAATTTCACTTAAATCGTCGCTGTTTTCACGAAGTGACGGTAGTGAAAAAAAATTGCATTCACTTTGCGTTACGATTTTCCTCACTACCGTCACTTCGTGAAAACAAGGACGAAATTGTGTAATGATGTGAAAAAAGATGTCATGTAACACTCAACTCTGCAAGGATTTTCAAAACAATTATGTTTGAAGACGAATATTGATGAAAGAATACAAAACTTGGGTTTTGTGTTGTATGCAGAAAACCTAAAATCTTTTATCAATATTCATCTTCAAACACATTTATTCTGAAAATCCTTGCAGAAGTCAGTGTTAAATTTCATCCTCTTTTATTTCGTCATACAATTGAAGTGAATGATTGCCATCGACTTTTTTAGGCTCCCAGAGGCTTTAACTACAAGATAACTTCTAACTAATACATTAGAACTGTTGCGTAAACCTAGCTATCATTTCTTGCTGAAAGACCAAATGTTTCATGAAGCCTGCTTTAAAGGGTTTACAATACAATACAAACATCTAAATAAAATATTACAGGACAGTGATACACATATGATTACAACTTTCAAAAATTCAAAATTTTCTCAATTGTTGTCCGATTCTAGTCAAACTTTTCATAATCGAATGCCACGTCAGTGTTTCCTTTGACACGTATACTTACAAGGAGGTTTTCTGTCTACCACTATACTGCTGTCTTTGTACCCTATCTTTATACCCTGGTGTACCTATAGTGATTACAACTCTCAAAAATTCATAATTTTCTCAATAATTGTCAGAGTCTAGTCAAACTTGTCACGCCAGTGTTTCCTTCACGTATACTTACAAGGAGGTTTTCTGTCTACCACCATGCTACTGTCTTTGTACCCTGGTCGTGATGAGGTGACAGCTTTGGGGTCTTGACGGAGAGGGATTGCTGCTGCAGGATGGGGCTGTAGCAGGGAGGAGAGAGAGACAGTGAAGAATAATAAATAATCATACAAATGGTGCTTATAAAGCGCTTACCACCGAAGTCTCTAAACGATAATGATAAACAATTACATATTAAACAAAACAAAATGAAAAGAAAATGCAAATAAACCTACAAATTACAATACATATGAAATATACATCAATGTGAATAGAGTACATGTAAGTTAATCATCACTAGCAATTTTTGAATAAGTGTGTCTTAAGACAAGTTTTGAATTGGTTAATAGTCTGACAGTTTTTGACATTCAAAGGTAGTTTGTTCCAAAGTTCAGCAGGAGCTTCGCAGAAAGAGCGATGACCATAAGAAAGAGTTGACACCGAAGTAGACACAAGGTTTAATTTTGAAGATGACCATAGAGACAGGAGAGGAACAGTGTGAAAGAGAGATGGTCAGATAGGAAAGTGAGTATGAAAGATACAGATTATATATTTTTCAACATCATTCAGATTTCAGAGTAAAGTATCAAAAGTTGTCTCATCAGTCTTGCTTTTGAAATGCTTTTTATAATGCCTAGAGAGCTAGCTGGTAGTTGCTTTTTATACATTTTTAGGGGTTCCTATGTAGCCTTCTATGTAACCTTTTTCAGTGTTATTATGTATAATATTTCTGTTTGTTCCCCGATAAAATGATATTCAAAATAACAGAAATAATGGTGATGATGCAATTTGTCCTCACATACAATGATTTTCAAATAACTTAAATCACCAACACTTTACAAACTGGTTTAGATTACTAGAGTTGCATTGTCATAAGGCCGTCTTCATCAGCTCGAGATTGCCAAATAACCCACTATTTTCTGATTTGGGAAATAATCCCGAAGTTACAAATTGTATCTTCATCAGCTCAAGACCTCAAAACTTGAAACTCGAGCTCCAGAAATTAGCTCAAGATATCTTGCTCAGCGTTCGTGCATAGTGCAAGTCTTCGGGCTGGTGAGGACGCACCAGACAAATAGCTGGATATTCTGCAAACTAGCCCAAGATATCTTGGGATGATTATCTCGACCAAATATCCCGCTAATTGCGAGTTCGGCTGATGAAGACGCAAATTAACTGGATAATTTGCGATTGGGATATATAGTTCAAATAGCGGGATATTTGGCAATCTCGAGCTGATGAGGACAGGCCTACAGATTTTTTGCAGAAACTGCAAATCATGAAGTGTGTTAGAAATTGAATTAGCCATCTCAAGAAAACGGGAACAAGATCCCCACTCTCCCTCTCTTCTTCCTTCCATCTCTTCTTTTTCTTGTTAGGTGGGTGGGTAGAGCATTAAGATGACTCAGAATCAGTCAGAAGATATATCGTGTGAATGATCAAGATCTGATGCTGATAAGAGGTCACTTAATCTCGGAGATAGATACTAGTTAAGTTCCCACAACAATTGTTAAGTCTAAGTTTTAAGTCAAGGTTTTAAACTTCAAATTATGTTGTATTTTTTACTGTGCACGCACACTTGTCGTTGCAAAACTTCAAGTTTACTCAAAGCTATAAACAAAGTGCCCTCATAAGGTTAGCCCGATAACCACGATCAGCGGGTTTCCTAATACAAAGTTTTGTGCCATGTGGATGCACTTAACTTTGAGGTTATGCAGGCTTGTATGTCTGCTTGCATGGCTTATACTTTAATTCGTTGAATATTTTTTGTTTCGGTCCCGTCCGAACCCTCATCATTATTAGTGGATCATGGTTTATAAGTTAGGGGGTTTGGTAAAATTGAAGCTTTAAACTACAATAGTGTCGTGTGAACTTAGCTACTAAAAGCAATAAATATATTATAGATGAATACCTATGCTCATGGGCTCTGCAGAGGCACTGTCAAATTGGCATCATGTGCAAAAAATAACAACTCTCATGGTACCTGGAAGGATCCACATCTCAAGGGTATACACACTTTCACCATCATCCAATTTCCCATCTTGCTCCTCTCCTTCTCAGAAGATATAAAGAATGATAAATTCATTTCTTTATTTTAGCCCCTTGATTAGATGCCTTTACAGTGCGTCCCAAAAAAAACTATACACTTTTGAAATGGCTGCCGAATAAAAAAATATATGATTCTGGGGGAAAAGTTTTATATGAATGGAAAGCTCATAAACTCAACTTTCATATGACACCAAAAAGTCTGAAAATAATTCATGCTTGGTTGAGCACTGCTCACTTTTGTAAAGGGTATGAAAATTAGGTTGCGCAGGAATTAGCCTTCCAATTTGTGAGAGGTAAATCCTTTGGTGCTTACAAAATCGAGGGTGATATGAAACATTCATGATTTGCTGAGTGAATTACATGGTTTATAAAAACCAAACTTTTATGCATGAGTGAACAGGAATTTCATTTTTTATTGTAGCATTGTAACTTTCCCTGGTAGACTCAGTGGATAGGTGTGTTCATGGGAGTCAAGATGGGGTGATGGTACATGTTGTAATTTCCATCTTACAAAATGTTATTTTTTACATCTGTGACTTTGAATAAAAACCTTCACCCCACATTTCAGTTATTGTAAGATAAGTTGAACATCTCATTGATTTAATTAATAACCAGATGGGGATTATGTAAATTGATTATTCAAATACGGTTTGTTGAAAAGAGGAATATCACATATGTTGGCTACTTATTCTTCAGGTTACCCATTTACCATTTACATAAACTCAAGTGCTAAAATGACTGGTTGGTTGGTTGATAGATTGAGTGATTGACTAAGTTATTGATTAATTATTATTGAACGATTAAATTGATTGAAAAACTGAATGGTGATTGAATGCTTGATTGATTAATTGATTGACTGATTGGCTGATACCGTACATTGTTGATTAAGTGATTGATAGCTGAATGTAATGGATTGTCAAGTTATGCACAAGCACACCCAGGCAGAGAGAGAGAGAGAGAGAGAGAGAAAGAGAGGGGAAGGGGCATACATGTCCTCTTGACCCTTATCCAATCTACCAAACAAAGTCCTACCCTACATTTCACCTTCCCTGCACCATGTACCATCACCCCGTCCTGACTCCCATGAACACTTAACTGAGTCTACCATGGAAAGTTACATTGCTATACGGTAATAACAAATGCAATTCCTGTTCACTCATCCATAAACCACAAATTTCACTCAACAAACCCAAACTCATCAAAATTTATCATAAATTAGTCATATCATCCTCAATTCCGTAAGCTCCAAAGAATTTACCTCTCACAAATTGGAAAGCTAATTCCTGCGCAACCTAATTTGCATACCCTTTACAAAAGTGAGCAGTACTCAACCAAGCATGAATTGTTTTCGGACTTTTTGGTGTCATATGAAAGTTGAGTTTATGAGCTTTCCACACATATAAAACTTTTCCCCCAGAATTATATCTTTTTTTATTCGGCAGCCATTTCAAAAGTGTATAGTTTTTTTCGGGACGCACTGTATAGTGACCTTTATAGGGATGCTCCTAAAAGCTGCAGTGTAGAATATCCTTTGATTTAAGCATCTTAAACTTCAACTTAATATCGTAAAATAAGGTTAACAACAGATTACTAAAGGGGGTATCTCACTGAGCGGCGGAAGCTTACGAACGTTGCGAATAAAATCAGCGAATTTTAGTGACGTTTCGCGATAATTAGCAACATTTGAGCGCATGTTCCTGAAAGTGTTTGCGAAAGGCAGTTGGCGACTATCAGCGACTGTAAGCAAATTTTAGCGACATTTTTTGCGAAGATTAGCAACTATTTGCCAATCCTTTGCCACTATTTGTGAATGTTTGGGACCTTTTGATAACTCCTGGTACTCAATGGGTCAATTTTATAAAGGAACCGTATGATAGCATGGTTGCTAGCATTGGCGAAACAAAGAGAACTGACGATAACAAAGAGTGACACCGTCTTGCAACCGTTTGCAAAGGCTTACAAATGTTTTGCAAACGCCTGCAACTGTTTGCGTAAAAATAAATTAGCAAACAAATTTGATGCGACAAGAAAAACTGTTTGCGACAATGAAAACTGTTTGCGAACTTTCTTGCAACCGTTCGCAACCTTTTACGAACCCTGGTGAAAACCCAAATTCGCTACTTTTGCAAGCATTCGCTGCTCAGTGAGATACCCCTTTATACAAACATTGATAAAGGATATATAGTCAGGAAGGGAGAAGAAGAAACTTGAGAATCTAAGGTAGCAGTGACACCTGTCTGTGGTCTCTTCTGAGAGTTCCTAATATCCTTCAAAGCTTACTTGGGTTTCAAATGTTTGGAAGCAACGCAAAAATCAGGAAAAAATAGATTTAAAATTCACAGGATTCAAAGTGTCCTGTTCCAGAGCAACATTGCAGTTACTTTAAAAGAACATGATGTTCATGGTCCACTAAATAAAAGATTTGGTTTCATTTCGGTATTCACTCATGGGTATTGATCTGTACATTGATATGAATAAGTGGCATATCCAGAAAGAGCAGAGTAATAAAATGTATTTTACAAACATATTCCAAATATATTTAAAGGAAATATTATGGAGGGCAAATGTTGAAAAGTAACACCTCTGGAAAAAATGTCAATTATGATTTTTTTTTAAGCGTATAATAACTTTTGTGATACAAGTGTAATCTATGAGTTGTTTTTTTTGTAATCAATATAAACATGTGTTTTTATATCAGTATTATTCAATTAATAAATGATGGAACAGAAATAGTAGTGTATAGTTTGGAGGTTTCAAATCAACTATCTAAATCTAAAAAGAAACCAAACAAACTGTCACTTGACTCTCATATGATAGAGTCACTTTAGAAATTAGTAAAAAAAAAAGAAAAGAAATCACAAATCAGAGGATGAAGTAAGAATAGATGTAAGGTGAAATAAAGATTTAGGCCTACCGGTATATAACTCAAAATTTACATCTTTAATTCTATAGGAAAATAAAAAAATCTTTTCAAGGGGGTTGACCATTTGACCTCTTGGTTAACTTGGCCACTGCCAAACGTACTAGGTGCAATTTGATTGTTAGGATCCACATTGACCTTTATATTCCAGGGTTATCTTTCCTGTCTAGAGATGTCAATATGCAAGATTTCATTATAGTCTCTGAACCTCTTTTCATTTTTTATTTGTGTCTGTAGAATGCATTATTAAAATTGATTGATTATAAAGAGTTTATTTCATAGAAGGATCTCTCTAAAAAAAACATGGTTGACCATGCTCATCTGTGGTCAAAGTGTTTATATACAAAAGAGAAACCGTTTTCTCCTTGTAAAGCGCTGTGAAACCGATTGTGTGAGAGTGCTGTATTTAACCAAACATATTAATATTATTATCATTATTATTATTAAGTGCTAACCTAGGGCTCGGCAATCTATTGTTAACCCTCAACAGCTTCTACATGTACCAAGTCATGCATCATGTCACAATATCAATTTCTTGATGCATTTTTAAAAATTGCTTTTTTTTTTGCTACAGCCCACGAGTCTGTCAATCATATTTCATAAACTATGGACAGATGTATCAGGGAACGAAGCAGGTTAGTGGCACCCCAGGCCTTGATCCTAGCACAACCCCCTGCTCCCACTCTCCCCAAATTCTGGATGTCGAGGCTTAGCGGAATTCCTACCCCTTTCTCGCTCGGAGGTGACGAGTGGTGAGCCTTCCCTCGCTGCCTTGAGCGCCACTTCCAGTTTTGAATTGAATCATAACAGGATGGTCATAAATTGCCTAGATGAGGTCAGGCCATTTAAATTAAAAAATCTATTCTGAACCTGCAACAGCTTAAAGGCAGTTCATTGAAACCTGTACATAAGACCAATCAAGGGAAATATGAAAAGTGGTCTTTATAGGCAGGTGCTTTTATGTACAGGTTCCTTTAGTGCAGATTTCAATGGGTTTTTTTTTTTTAAAGTTTACTTTAAAGCCTACTTCTACTTTAAACATGTACTAAAAACAACACACACACATTCAAATCATTTGATTTCTTAAATCTCAGATGAACTAGATGGATGTTATTTTTAGATGCTGAAGTAGAAAGTTAAGCAATAAGATTTGAAAAACATTTTGTATCCCTGGCCTAGGATGTAAATTCAAATACAGCCCTCTGTAAATGTACATGTATGCAGCCCTGAAAAATTGGCCCGTGGGGGGGGGGGGGGGGGGGAGGTATATGGTTTGTGTGACAGGACTCCTACATGCCTCTGTGAGGTTGCAGTATGGTGCACTTCTAGGCAAACAGTGGATGACCCAAGATGACATTCCATTTCAGATTACACTGAAAATCATCTCATATCATAGACGGAGCATTATCATTTCTGGCACTCGTGTAAAGAACTTTTGAAAAAAGCGTATTTTAAAACAATATTGAGACACATGTAACAACTTTCATTCCAATATGCTTCTTCAGTTAGTTTAGTTTTGTAAGGGTTAAAAGGGCTGCATGTAGCCGATCTAGCTACAGTACATACGGTAGTCATTGATTCCTAAGAGGAAAGCTTTCAGTGAAGGAATTTCCACACCAATAGACCTTTCTAGATTTCAAGATTCATTTCGAGAATAAAAATTTCAATCTGCTGTACAGGTGTACTGCAGACTGTATGCAATGCATGTAGAGCCTACATGTACGCGTTTTCATGCAGTTAACAACTAATTTATTCATAACCCTTACCAAGTTTTGTACTTTTTTTAAGGGAGGCTTTACTACTTCAGCTAGAAGGGATTAGACCACACAGCGAGCCAGCGAGGTCACTGTGACAGGTGGCTATCTCATTAACTCAGCTCTCATTTAACATAAGAAAAAGAGGATCATGGGGGACCAACAGGCACCGATTGGGGAAGTTGTCTATAAAGAGGGAGCAAGTAGCTATAAGTAGGACAGTGTGCCTTTAAGTATTTTAATAATTGATTTGTTCTGATTTATGTTTTTTGAGAATGGGACTTGTATGTTTAAGCTTACATTTAAAAGTATTCAACAAAGGCCCTAATTAAACTAATCCACCTTTCATTTCTTGAGTTACAAAAAAACCCAAAAACATCAAATTGGGTATACATGTAGATATATTGCAATTGTTCACTGTACATATGTATACAGTACCCCTGAATAGCCATGGACATTAAGGAAGAAAAAAAATCTCCATATGGGCTGTCCGCTCCTGCCTGAAAAATCAAGTTCCCATTTCAAAATAATGGATTTATGCTAAAAACCAACTGTCTATAATACATTAATATCGTATCGGGTGGCAGAGGGCGTTCGAAAACTACTTTTCGAATTATTCGCATTTAAAGATTTGTTTTATATTTAAACTGCTTTCCATCCCGAAAATTGGTTTAAAACATAAAAGACTAATAAGTAGTAGAAATGTTGTAGTAGAACACGGCCACAATTTTTTTTTCTCGGAAATAAGTCAGTTTTTATAAAAGTTTGAGGCGATTTAGTGCTAACGCCCTTCTGCTTAAAGTTTCATTTTTTACCTGAAATTTGAGCTAACGCCCTTCTGCCAGCCAGGCGACGATATATCAGGTAATTATGTAACCATAACAATATCATGATTACCATAGACTATTTCACTTACAAAGTATGAAGCAATAGTTGTCCAAATATAAAGTTTCAAGGATTCAAACCTCCACCCCTCTCCCCCCTCAACAACAAAAATCCCATGTGCCTAAAAAAGTGCACTGCTGTGGCAAAGTGAGGAATGGAGGTACATGTACTTAACTGTGCTTCCAAACTCTACGTACAGCTGTATGACTTTTCTAAGGAACTATTTATAAGGAAAACAAAAACTTACATTTTCATTGTTTGTCAGTCTTGACTCCATTGTTCCACTTTCTATCCAAGTCTTCAATGATTTTTAATACAGGCCTTACACTAAACCTAACCGTACATGAATCCTATTAGGACTTCTCGTTTGAGAAAGGTTTTTTAGAAAGGTCTAGATGGTCACCAAACTCTCAATTTGTTTATCTGTATGAAAGACAGCGTCCAGATTTATGACTGGTCATTGTAAGAGATAATCCAGAAACCTAACAAAGGACCAGGTAAAAGTGTAAACACTTGAATGGCCATAAGGTATGTGGATGATTTAAGCTGTTTTCACACTCACCTCCAAAGAGGATCTAGTCTGGGTTAAAACCTCTTTCATATCAGGGGTACAAGAGGAAATCCGGATCAAGCCTGTTCAGACCGAATACCTAATCTGAAGGTTATAATAGCATCTCTTGATCCGTACTTGATGTGGACCCCTCGAACAGCTTCCAAGACTAGGATCAATTCCACATTTAGTTCAGACCAGAAATAGATTCTTGGTATCAAAGCCTGTCTGTACTAGTTTGGCCAGAAGGGATTAGACCACCCAGCGTGGTCACTAACAGGTGGTTATCTCATCAACTCAGCTCTCAATTAACATGAAAAAGAGGATCACGGGGGAACATGGAGGACCAACAGGCACCGCTTATAGGCATTGTTTTCTACTGTAGAGGGAGCACGTACATGTAGCTACAAGTAGTGCAGTGGAGCTTTAATTATGAACATGATCATGCATACATGTATGTACATTTCCCACATAGTGCTTTTATGTACCCACAATTATTAAATAACATTATGCACACTTTGACTGTAGTATGTACAGAGCATGCATGCATCCATACAGGATGTTATAAGTCATTCAACTATTCTTGACTCTTTTCCAAGTTAGTGTGTATCACTGACAATGATGCGTCTGCTCCATTACCTTGCCATGGAACCCCTCATTAATTTGTGTAAATTTCCTGCCCGTGACATATAGGGGGTGTATAGTGAGAGAAAACGTGTGTTCACCGCTCTGTTGCTTTCTAAACATCCTGTATACCGTTAACAACTAAATCATTCATAACATTACCACGTTTTGTGTATAATGATGGTTGATTTGTCCCAATTTATGTTCCTTTATAAAGAATGTGACTTATAAAAGCTTACATCTGAAAGTATTCAACAAAGGCCATAATTCAACCAGTCCACCTTTCATTCTTGAGTTACAAAAAAAAATACAAAAAAACATCAAATTTACAAGACATATGAATGATTTAGTTGTTAACTGATTATCCTATCACTTATCAGGTACATATACATGTACAATACAAATATTGGATACACTGTTGACCTTGTGGGATATGTGTGTCAGTTCATTATACATGTACATATAGTTTTTTTTTTTTTTTTCTTCATTTTTTTCCCTCCACAGGGATTTTATTGATATATATATACATGTAGTACATATAGTTCATGCAGATTCATTATTCGATAGATGTTAAAAGGATTTGAAAAGGAAAAAATGATGCCAAGGCTAAAAAAATTGTACAACCCATTCCAGAAAGAGAGGAGTATCTTGTGTGGGGGAACAAAAACAAAATCATTTTATTTTAGAGTATAAGAATGCTCAAGATTACAAGCAAAGTATTGAATGACCAAGTCACACGCACATGAAATGTTGATCCGGATCATAGGTCAAAATCAAATCTCTTTTATTTCCCACCTATCCACTCCAGGGTATATTCAATCAAATTCTCACATCATTACTACTAACCTTGCATGGCAAGACTCTTTATTTAATCATAAAAAAACAGCTTTGAATCATGATTGATCACGATTCAATTTTATCAATAAAGCGACTGAAGCCAGAAATGTTTGCCGCATGAAACTTTCACAAAAATCTCAGTCTGCTTCTATCAAAAGCCAACATAAGATCAGAATAGGCTTCCCTTTAAAAACTGAAATTTTCATGGTTAGAAACTTTTAAAAATAGCAAGATTAGTATTGTGATTCATGAATTTTGCAGCATGAAAATTTCACAAATCTGAACCCATGCAATTAGTGAAGATTTTTTGCGAACAAAAAATTTGGGCAACTTTTACGATTTTATAAGGGGAACTACCTTTATTTCTAATTTTAAAAATGAATAAATGTGACTGTACCCTTGGGCTTGGTCTGACCATGAGGACAACACCTGCAGCTTTGTAGTTGAATGCAACCACCTCCACAACCACACATGTTTGTGACATCGTCTTCATAACAAGCAAAACCCGCTCACTCCCGAGTCAGTCTAACCGAGCCACTTCCTCGGCCGGCCCGCACAGCAGTTGGTGGGTCGGTTGGAGGTTGAGGTACTTTGTAGCTAAATAAAGGCTCAAAACCACAAGCGTGTCAGGAGTTTAAAAGCACCTATGTTCAGTCATCATGTATGTGTTTGTTGGTATCCCTTGTTTAGTGAAGCTTTGAAGCACTTTCAAATGAAGCGGTGTCAAGTAGTGAAGATGCAGGAATTCAACATCTGTTTTTTTCACAAGATGCAGCAGGCTAACAAACCTTTAAAATTCACTAACAGATCATCGAACAATAAGTGCCTAATCAGTCAATCTTAGGATTTCTTAAATTAAGGTGATTTCAGAGCGTGCCCATTCTATAGAAACAGTGCATGGATCAAGGTAGATCGTCTTTTGGAGCTGCTGCGTGTAGAGGAGTGAGTAGCTATAGGATCCTGGATCATACCTTCACCATAAAGTCATCTTTGGTTGATTGATGTCAATACCTAGCAGACAGACGAACAACTATCTCTACTCCGAGGGTAGCTGCAACAACACTCTAACACAGCTCAAAAGGAGAGCTCTAGACAATTTGAGGAAAGCTTGCATTCCATGATCCTCTTTGACAGTGGTCATTATTCCAGCACGCCTCCTGGAAATCATATCTACTCTCAGTTTCAACAAGCCTCGATGACATCATGAAAACCTTTTAGAGACTTTTGGAAAGAAAGACCTGCACTTTCCTTTTTCCCTCTAGTTGTCTCCCAATCTTGCTCCTGGCAACACAGATGTCAGTTTGCCTCAGAAGCTCCCTCACATGATTCCTCATGGTAAACTCTTTGAAACAGGTGTTCAAATTCCATTTCCATCGATCCAAAAGCAGCGCAGGTTCCTCCTAGTCTCCCCTTGCAAACCCCATCGTCACAACCAATCTTCTCCCTACCGCAGCTTGATTTTGATTTGACGCAAGTTATTATGCTCTAGAATTGATTCTTGGTGGGTGGAAGGCAACTAGATCACAAAGTCTACTGGAGTAATGAGGATGAGCAATGCGTAATCTCCACAAACGGACACTAAGATATCAGTCACCAAATGAATCAAACGCATAGTGCGCGTAAATAGACTTGTCACTCTGGTAACTCATCCACAGAGAGAGAGAGAGAGAGAGAGAGAGAGAGAGAGAGCATGAGGCACAAAGAAATCATAGCAAGTTCATCGACTTAACGGCTTGCTTGCCTGCCTGCCTGCGTGCGTGCCTGCCGGGTTGGTGGGTAGGCTTTAATCAGACCTTGGTGTCCCATAGGACTGTAGGGGGCTGGCGGCAGGAAATCCAAGCACTCCCTTACAGCGATTCAAATTTCCACCTCGGGCAGACCTGCGAGGAGCAGGTGCCGCAGCTATGTACAGTGATCGTAGCATGTGTAAGGACCTGACTGCCGGGAGGGGGGTATACTATCAATTTGAAGACAGGTGAATTACAGTAGTCTTGTTACACAGCTCTTCTTGAACTAGGTTTACAGTACAAGCTATTTGATTATCTAATTTAGTTTGCCTGCCCTATTCATTGCTGTGAATATTGATGGAATCCATAAATCAATCATCTTTATTCGTTAAATAGATGACTATCAGAACCACAAATCTGTCGTTATCACTTGTTTTGTTAATAAGAACACATCCTTTAAAGTTTTGTTTTCATTCCTTGGGATGGCTGCCAAAATTGGATTGAAAGTAAGTTGAAAAAAATGACACATAACTGATGACTTCAAGTGCTATTGTTGTAGTAGTTATTGTTGTTGTTGTTGCAGTCGTTGTTGTGTTTATCCACTCATCGGGTAACAGGCTTCTTATCACTACATGTGCACAGTTCTGAATAACAATCACAAATGGAAAATAAGAGAAAATGTGAAAACATGAAAAACTATGTTCATTGTTTTAAAACATAGATACTTGCAAACTGACGTCCCCAAAACAAATCATACATGTATGTACACTAAAGGAATTAAAGGGAGCCAATCACTTAAACTTTTTGGGGTATATATTTGGGGTTATAACAGTTTTAAATATCAAACCATTTTACTTCTATTAAGAGATACTACAAGTTATGATACTGATAATGAACTTGAAATTAAAGGAAGTGTCTTACAGGTAGATTAGCTTTATATGCACTCATCACAATTATACTGCACAGGAAGTCAATTCTGATTAAGATCTTTGGAGGTACATGTACATGAAATCATTTCTTTCTCCTTGGCTTAAAAGCCTGATTAAGTTCTTGGTGTTTTTATTTCTTATTTAAAATAAATGTTGTTTTTATATTCCTCATTATCATTTTCAAGAGATAGATCAATCCCCTTTAAGTAAAGACGTGCTGTAATTGACCACAGCTAATTAGCCAACCTGCCAATGGGAAATGGTTGGATCGAGAGCTGAATTAGGGATTGGAAACATCACTGACGTAGATTTCCTCTACTTCCTGAGGGCATTATAAATCCAAGATGACCACATGCTGAAACCATGGGCCTAGCTACGCTCAAACTAAAGTCTTGGAGTGGCACCTCGAAAAACATGATAACTTTGACCAGGCACGTACGCAGCGGAGGGGGGGGGGGGATGTTTTGGGGGTTGAACCCCCCCCCCCCTCAATTTGTTTTAAAAAAATTAAAACTTAAAAAAAATTGTGGTAATGGGTGACCAAAAAATGGGGTGACCTTACACCCCCCCCCCCCCCCCCCCCCCCCCCCCAACGGAACGATCGGTAAAATGTATATGTTTTCGGGACAAAAAAAAAAAAAAAAAAAAAAAAAAGTGCTCTTCAAATCTGAACAGGCCTTTAAAACATAAAAATATAGCCTAATTTTCCTTTATGGGTCAAATTTTTGACTAAATTTTGAAAAGAGTTCCGAAAGCACATGTAAGCACATATTTTGAGGGTCTGTCTTGCATGTCTATTTCTATTTTTTTCCAAACTGGCATACATGATGTATTTGAAGGGGAGGCATTCTCATATATTGAACAATACCGGTACTTGGCAAATACTGAGCATGAACAGGATGTAGTATGGAGTTTACATTTCAAATCTAGATGTTCCCTCTCAATAGGCCTGTTTTCATCAGCTCGAGTTTGCCACATAACCCGCTATTATAACTATCCTGGTCACAATCCTCATCAGCCTGCAGTTGCAATTAGCGGGATATTTGTTTGTGAAAATATCCCGAGAAATCTTGGTCTTGTTTCCAAAATATCCCACTATTTAGGAAATAGCGGGCTAATTTGCGCCGGTTCGAGCTAGTTTGTAATGAGCGTATCGGTCTGGTGAAGACGCAATTTCGATCTTCAGGATAATATCCCAATTATCCGAGTCTCATAATAGCAGGTTATTTGGCAAACTCAAGCTGATGAAAACAGGCCTAATAAGGAAGGAAATGATGCTATCTCAAGATCAATTAGAAAGAAAGAAAGCCTATCTAACCAAGAAACAAATAATCTAGTATTTTTTTTCCGTGAAACTGAAATAAGTCCTAGTCTCCTTGGAGCAACTCAATAGATACTACGTTAATCTATATTTTAGTGTAAGCTGTCCCACCAAGAAACATACAAATCATTGGCCGGAGCCAAGGCGATGATTTATGAAACCACAAACCTTGTCGACTGACCTGAAAAACAGATCTCTTTTCTCAAGAGTGAAGGGGAAATGCAAGACTTGACCCAAATTTCAGAAAGAAAGCTAATGACCGACACATTTAACACCGAATGGGCATACAGTTAGTGATGAATATGGCTGGTACAATAATTAGGAGATCCTTGAGGGGGAAAAAAGCAGAGCAAAGCGATTGTTGTGAACAGCCATTTTTTCACAGAGCAACTAGCATATTATTCAAAATAATTTATTAGGGAATGCTGTCTATATTGTATCAATGTAGTCACCATTAATATACATGTACAACCTCAATATCAGAATAGGGATGAGAAGGTCTGCAGACAACGGAGTGAGTTGAGTTCTTAAGTTTGTCCAACAGGTTCATGGCCCCCTGTTAGTAATTTGTTGGTGATGTACTGATAGTGGTGTTTTTGAAAAACCCAAATTATGTATTCTTTTATCAATATTTGTCTTTAAACACAGTTGTTGTTTTGTTTGTTTGTTTGTTTGTTTGTTTTTTTGGGGGGGGGATTTTTGCAGAAGCGTGTCTTTAATGACATCCCCTTTCACACTATGATACAATTAAGTGAAACGTTGCCATCACATTTTTTTAAGAATTTGGGGCTCCAAACAATTAAGGGGGGCTTTAAACGGCACAGTATGAATGCACCTGAGAAAGTCTTGAATTCAAGGAAGATGCTGTATTTTATCAATGCTGTGATCAAACTTAAGCAGACATAATTACTATGGATAAGCTCTGCAGTGTCAAATTTGGCAGACAGTTAGTGACTGCAGTATGACTCATTGGCAGTGTTCAGTATGTAATAAGTGGCTTTAATGAGTTACTGATCAAATAACAATCGGCGGTAAGCTTTGTTCATACTTATAGAAGAAAATTGTCAGGAAAATTTATAAGCAACATGCAGCAAACGGTAATGACATTTATAAGCAAGGTGTACTTCAACTTTCTGTATCTTATAATGCACAGATACATGTTCAAATAATGTACACTGTACATGTAAGTAAGTACCAGGGATGCCAGTTAGAATTGATCAGAGGGCCTGAAAATCACCTAGAATGAGCTATTTGTACACAACAAAGCCTAAACTATGGTCTGAAAATAACTTGCCAGGTTCTGAATTCAGGCTATTGCCTGAAAACTGGCATCCCTGAAGTATGCTTAGAGGCTTACTGTATGTTGCATGCAGTGATTATTATCCTTCCCCAGAAACACATCGATCCCCCCCCCCCCCCCCCAACCTGCCACTCATTTAGATCTTGCTCAAGAGAGCTTTTTGAGGCATTTACCACATCACGTATGAACGCAGCTTTAATATAGGGCAAGCTAGCAGGCTATTTTTTATGCTGCTACTCACTCGAACTTGGGCCGAGTTGTTGCTGTGGTGAGAATAGGACTCCTCTTGCTTCGGGACGGAGCGGCGAAGTGGCACTGCATTCTGGTCCGCAGACACCGCCGGGTGATTGCTGGCCCCGCCGTCACGTCGCCTCTTGAACATAGAGCACCAGGCGCAGCAGCTCATGAACACATGGGGGCGCTATTGACCTGTGCTGCCAGCAGCACAGCAGCTTGCTGCATCGGAGTTGAGGTTGCAACTGCGTCTGTCCGTCTCCAGTGGGGTCGTGTCGGTGATGCACGGTGTATTGTGACTCAACCTTGGCTATGTACCTGCAACATAACAACACAATGCAGTAAATACATTTGTAGTAGGCCTACATCATGACATTCTTAGGTACAGATTGTGTGTAGGTTTACAAGGGGGAAGGAAACGGGATCTGTCCATGTACAGGTATTCATATATAATAATTATAATAATAAGGTGCCAAACCCACTTAAAAATTAAATGCTTAAGGGGCACTAGTG